TGTAGGGAAGAGTGCAACACTGGCATGCGAAGTGACACGAGGTGACTTCTTTTATGTTGGTCAGAGTGTCCAGTGCACTGTTACAAGATTTTTTCCCATATAAATGATAATTCAGAATAGACCCTTCTCACTGCACCTTCATCTCACTTCGGGATCTCATACTCTTTTCCTTGCACATGGAATATAAATTATCAGCGTGAGAATCAGTTTGTGGTTGTTCCAGACATTTAAGTCTAGACCTGGAAAATATGCCAAAAAATGTATGGCACAAAAAGGAGCAATCCAGTATCAGCCAAGAGAAGTTAGATTAGGACAACCTGCCATACATTTATTTATTTAGATTTATACAAAATGCAGTAAATGAGCACTTATCTAGCTCTCTGCCAACTCTTGATTATTGTTTAAAAGTACAGCAATGTAAGCCAAACTGGCAGTTTGTCATATTATGTGTTATAATGTAATAATAGCTATTTAGTAAACAGTTTACTTCAGCAGTGGATATACAATTCTATGTTTATTATTAGCTTCCAAGTGTATGTTCTGAATTTCTTGCGTATGTTTACTGGAAATAGGTACAGTAATGCCACCAAGTTGGTAATAATGACTTGTCATAGTAGGGTGAATTATTAATACCATGTATGAGTTTGATGATTCTGTTTTTTCACAGTTCAAAAATTATCCATGAATCACTTTAAGTTTACCCCATAACTTAGCATGTGAGTTATCCTGATAGCTGTCTTTGTACCATCAACTGTTATTAGCTTGACATGAATCATATCATTGTTTTGAACATGTCCACCAATGAGTAAATGAGCAACAACAGTCATGGAATCTCTGCTCTTTTTCTTCTCTTTATTTTAATGTGGAAATGTTCCTGAAGCAGGGGTTTGGGTTGTAGAATTTTGAAAAATTGTTTTTATTACGAATGTCATGATGGAAAAGCTTTATCAAAGAGGAAAGCTTGCGGTATATTCTAAAGGTTAACAAACTCTATTTGTCTATCTACCAGGGAATTTGTTCTTCCATCAGATTCCCTTGTCTGAGAAGACCGAATCTGTTAAGAATAAAATTTGTATACTTACAGTTGATACAGGACCTGTGAGTTTTAGGTGTGGACAAGTGTATTGTTTTGCTAAGAGTTTCCTCAGAGAGATTACATTCCACATAGGAGTGTGAACAAGTACATACAACAAGTCAGTGAGAGAAATGCGTATGGTGTGATGCACACTTTGATTTGATTAGTAATAATGTATCATAACTTTTTTGTTCATTCTATAGTCGACATATATGGCCAAGTGGCCAAAAGTGACAATCCCTTCTCCTTGAAGGTTAACAGATAAATTGTAATCTGTTATCCAAGATTTTAGTGTTCCTTACAAATGCAATGAATTTACAAGCTTCCAGAATGAAACCTAAAAAGAAGAAAGGTCTTTCTAAAGACTAAATGGCATTCAGTATGATAGTAGGATGAGGTCTCAGTGACAGAGCACTGAACTATGTAGTCCTGATTCCATTCTTATATTAATTACTTCTTTCTCTGTAACTGCCAACCCACGAATATTTTACGTTACTACAATGTTATTCAAGTACGCTGGCTTTCTAACCTTCCTGATTTCAACTGGTCACGCAACAGGTTTCATCAACGTAGGACAGCTTTAATAAAGACTCCCACTATGTTTTCATTCATCAAATCAACCTGAGTGTTGCTAAATTCAGACTTTATGAAAGCATACTTATTGAACTTGTTGCGTTTGTCAGCTTAGCAACCCTAAAGGAATCCCTTTCATCCAACTACTTTTCCAGTCTCCCCATGTAACACCCTTGCATGCGCACCATCTATTGGCAAGGAGGAAGATGCCAAAAGGAACATTTCCTGCTCTTTGGTTAGAAAGAAAAAGCTCCTGGTTCCGGCTGTCTTCATTTGATGATTTTATGTACGTGTAGGAAGAAACAATGAACAGACTGTTCATGTTGATTATGAATTTGTAGCTCTCTATCACAGAAAACACAACTCAGGTGGAAACCGCTCCATATCTCTGATCATACTTGCCCTTCTCTGAATCTTTTCCAGTTTCAATCTACTCCTTTTCAGATGAGGATGAGCAGTACTGCATTCAAAGTGCACGCAAATGATAGATATATGTAGGGGAATAATTATGCTTTCTGTTCCTCTTCTAAAAATGCGTAACAGTAATTTGCTTTTTTGACTGCAGTTGAGCCCTGAGCTGATATTTTCATAAGACTGTTTGTCACAACCTCAGGAGATTTCCGCTGATGATCAGTTCAGAGACCTTCATTTTCTTTATGAAGCCAGAATTATTTTTCCTGTTGCACACTTTGCATTTATCCACACTGAATTTCATCTGGCATTTTACTGTCCAATAACTCAGTTTCATCCTTCTGCAATTCTTCAGTCTCTTTTCCTTACTGTCTTGAATAACGTCTTAGTATCAGCAAAGTTTACCACTTCAGTGCTCGTCTCTTGTAAATGTGTTGAATAGAACAGGTCCCAGGGGAACTGCACTGATTATCTCCCTCCATTGTGAGAACTGACCATTTACTACTACCCTGTTCCCTGTCTTTTGTTCCATTATTTAGCCATGCCAGGACTCTTGTCCAGTGGCTGTCTACTTTCCTTAAATGTTGGTGACAGTCTTTGCTAATAGCCTTTTGGAACCAGAAGTAGCCTGTGTTACCCAGATCACACTTATGTGAACACTTGTTGACACCTTTGAAGAGCTCAG